GTCTAGCCCCTAGCCTGGACCCTGAAAGAGCATCAAGGGTCTTGTTACTTTTCCACATAACTTCCAGTTTCATATAATCAGGGTTAATCTCTATCCTTATGCTGTGATCTTTTGAAAGTTTCTGCCTTGTCTGATGTTCATTATGCCCCCACTGGCATCAGCTTTACGTCTCTGGGAACCTAGGTGTTTGGCTGCTCTGGGAATTGTGGTAATTGTCCTTGTTTGTTTCAGGTGTGATCCCCTGAGCCCATTTGCTGTCGGGGGAGAAGACCTAGACCCCTTTGGGTGAGTATTTCTGGGGAGGTGGCAGCAACCTAACTTGCTCAGTGACTTGCAGCCCAGCTCATCCAATTTTAGACTTTTCATCAGCCTCCCTGATGAAGTGGCTGTGGTTGTGAAGGATGAGTGGAGGAGGTTGTGAAGTGGCTGAGGAGTCCACTGCTTCTTTCTATGCTCTGCCATACCTAGCGCAGTGCAGAGAGAGAACTGGGCGGACCATTTCTCTCTCCTCTACATAGGATCACAGCCCTTCCCTGGATAAGAGTCGTGGGGATTTATCAGATACAGAATGAAGTCCACACAGTGGGCCACAGGCTGTAGAGCATCAGTTCAGGGCTATTTGGTGGTTACCTCACTCCACAAAGGGAGTCTCTAAGTCCCGCATATCCTCTGCTTCTCATTCTGCATCCAGCAGTTTTCATTCTGCAGCCTCAGCTGTGCACTCTGTTCTCTGAGTGAGTCAGGTGAGGTTTAACTCCTGCTGAAGAGTGACCCCACTTTGATCATCTCGTTTTTAGATAGTAGGACTCACTCAGCTCCAAAGAGCTGCTCACACAGTGACCTCAGCATGTGAGGAACATTAGCCTATTTATCCCAGTTGGAATGCATGGAACTCAGGAAGGGACAGAGACTGTCAGGAGCCAGGCTCAGGCAACCCACAGACTGTCAGTAACTGTACTGAGGCCCTTAATCATGAGTGGTCACAATGTTATCACTCCTAGATTTAGAGTCTGACAGTTCTGTATTGAACCTGGCCAATTCTAGCCAGTTCTTGACCAGTTAGCCCCATTGGGTGTAAGATATGACAGAGATCTCAACCCTGTGGACTCAGGAAATCCTACAGAACTTCCTGTGCTGCTGTAGGCCCTTTTGGCTTCAGCAGTAGACACTTTGTATTCATTTTGTGTTCTTGCTTACTTGCTTGATCTCCTGTCTGCCTAGACCATCTAGAGTAGCCATCTGATCAATTTTACTTCACTCTATGCCTGTCTCCCTTCTTCAAGGGCACTAAGTCCCTGTTGCAACTGCTTACCCAGCTTCCTTCCTGTCTCAGGTGTCAGAGAGGTGGCATGATTGTGGATCCCCTGAGATCTGGCTTCCCAAGAGCACATATTGATCCATCCTCGGGTCTCCCGAACCGGCTTCCCCCTGGTGCCGTGCCCCCAGGAGCTCGCTTTGACCCCTTTGGACCCATTGGGACCAGCCCATCTGGGTAGGTATTCATTCAAGTAATCTGAAAGGTGGGATTTGATGGCAAAGCTGGCTTAATTCAGCTTTGCAGCCCAGATATCTGATCCAGGCACAGCAACCACTGTTTCCTCCCTGGAGCCTTCCAGGAATCCTCTCCTCACCTCATTCCCCTGGTGTCTTAGAGTTATAGTTATCATTGCTATGATGAAACACTATGAACAAAAGCAACTTTGGGTGTAAAAGGGTTTATTCTGTTTACATGTCCACATCAGTGTTCATCAAAGTGAGTCAGAACAGGAACTCAGAGCAGGAACCTGGAGGCAGGACCTAATGCAGAGGCCATGGAGGGTGCTGCTCATTGACTTGTTCCCCTTGGCTTGCTCAGCTGCTTTCTTACAGAACCCAGTACCACCCACAATGGGCTAGGCTCTCCCATCAGTCATTAATTAAGAAAATGCTATACAGGCTTGCAGACATTCCCATTTTGTGGAGGCATTTTTTTTTTTTTTCTCAGTAAAGTTTCCCTTCTCTCAGATGGTTATAGTTCATATGAAGTTGACATAAAACTAGCCAGCAAACTTGGACTCAGGAAGAGGTGCTTGTTCCCACAGTCCTTTTACAGCCTTGGAGACTGGGTATTTGAACCACAGTAAGATTAGACCCAGGCCATTTGGCCCTAGAGTTCATGATCTTAAACTCCATGTCACTCTGTGGGCCTCCTTTGTACAGGGCTTGTTTCCTGTGCACTCAGCCCTGTCCCGCCAACTCACTAGACCCTTTTTCCATTGCAGACCTAATCCAGACCATCTCCCCCCACCAGGCTACGATGATATGTACCTGTGAAGGCCTCAAGAATGTAACATCTCAGCCTCCCTTGCACTCTCCTGGAGCTGCCATCACTGGCCCCATCAGTGTTCGTGTTCTTGTGGGCTCAGGGCAGAGGATTCTGCCCATGTGTTTGCAGGCCTGCTGGGGTTGCATCCCCAGCCTTTGTCAGAACCGAGACGTCTGCTGCAGCCCCCTACCCAGCTGCATATAAGTCCCAAGGAGAAATCAGTGTGTGTCTATCATCACCAGCTCCTCCCCAGTTCCAAGGGAGACTCCGGCAACATAAACCCTCCACCCGATGCAGTCCCGGTCACAGCGCTATAAGAACAGAACGCATTTTGGATGTTATTATTAAGAACCAAATGTCAATACAGAATTCATGTTGCCGGTCTTCTACTTTCCTTTTTAAGTTAGTGCACAGACTCTTGAGTTTGAGCCTTGATAGGACTAAATGACTCCTAGGAGGGTCCATTCTTCTCAAGCACCTCCCTCCCTTCCATAAGTTCCTGACATCACTAAGTTGAGCTCCACTCAGGTTTTGTGTGTAAAAGAGTGACTGGAATTCCATGAACTACAAGGATGATTCCACCAATGCAGGCACCCTAGAAAATGTGCCATGTCCTTCCAAAGGCATCCTCTTCCAGTTGCCCCTGTTTGTGCAGCCTGTTGTCTGCTCCCTGGGCTGCTGTGGCCAGTAAGTAGACAGAACAGACCTGCAGCTAATCTCACTTCCTCCCCATGGTGACCCTAAAGAAGTCCTCTCAGAGCCTAGGGGCCACCTGTGAAATCAGAGGCTCCTTCAGTTGAAGCTCTGAAATGTGCTTTCTGTGTGAATGCGGACAGCCCTAAGGACAGGAGAAGTGGAAGGAGGAAAGGTGTCTATAACTATACTGCTTGTCCTCTTGGGGCTGACAAGAAATTAAGAACATGGGTCCAGCCAAGTGTGGTGTTAAATTTCAGGAGGGAGGGGGAGCCCCAGTCTCTGGAAGCCTGTGTTGAAGCCCACCCAATCTGTAGAATTCTCTGGGTCCCTTGAAGCCCCAGCTGACAGGCATTGGCAGTACGCAGCCCCATGCTGTAGTGATGGAAAGAGAACAATAGAGGACCAGGCTAGGAGACACCAAATCAAGGGACTACACACTTCATTCCACAGCCAGCATTCAACCATGTGGCTCCTTTCACATCTCAGCTCCTTGCACTCCTTTCCCCAGAAAGGACTTACCATTTTTACCTATAAGCAGCAACGCACTACTGTAGTTTTTTGGGGGTTACATTCTAGGAAGGTGTCCAGTGTGCCCAGCCCAGGAATGGGTAGGTAAACTGAACTGACAGGACTGGGCCATCTCAGGTGGAGGTTGGGCCTCAGGGCCAAGCTAGCATGAGCAGGTTCCCTGGCTGTTGAAGAGGGTCACATGCATCAGGTGCTGACCACCTTGAGGCTCTAGAACATCCTGTAATCTGGGAGCAAAGACAACCACTCATTGTGCATCACCATCATCCTTGAGGGCCGCCAGGCGGAATGTTTGGTTTGGTTTTGGAATTGGATCATACCTGCGAAAGAGCTTAGGGCACTTTGCTCATTAAAGCATCTCTTTTTATGCAAGGAAGCATTTAAGGGAACAGATGGCTGGAATTCTTAAGATAGGTTGGGGAAAGTAGATAACTCAGGGCCCTGATTTTAGGGAAGGTAAAATGGAAACATTCTCCAATTGGGCCTTTTAATAGTAAAGGTAAAAAAAAGACAGTCATGTCCAATAGTTCTATTTTCTGCAAACAAAAGTTACAGTAGAAAAGGGCTATTGTTGCTGTTTTCCTGTGAGTCACCTTACATAATATCCTTGAGAAACACAGTATCATAGATGTAGGTAGCCGTGAATGGGGCCGCTAAGAACTTCTGGTTCCAGCTGTTGGTGCTTGCTTGGGTCTCCACCACCTCTCCTTCCAGCTGTGATTAGCCAACAGCAAGAAGGAATGTTTCAGGCTTATGTCCCATAGAAACCTGAAATCAGATCCTTCACAATAAACAAATAGCACTTATAATCTGTTTTTTTTATTAACAACTTTATTAAGAGAATTTACACACCCAGGGAGTTCACCCACTCAAAGTACACAATTCAGTGGGTTATAGTTATTCACAGTGCTGTGTGTACATATACCCCCAAATATAATTCCTCCCCCCCAAAAAAAATTCATTTCTCCTCCCTCAGCCCAGGCAGCCCCCAGTCAGTTGTCTACAGATTTGCCTATTCTGGACAGTTCTCATAAGTAAAATCACTCAGTATGTGGCCTTTGTGTCCAGTGTCTTCCACACCTTGTTTTCACTGTTAATGTGATTGTAGCAACAACACTTTATACCGTGGCTGTATAATCATGGTATGGCTGCATCATATTTTGCTCATTTGTCAGTTGGTGGACACTTGGATTGTTTCTCCATTTTGTTATGTTGAATGATATTAATGTTCATGTACAAGTTTTTTGTGTGGGCAGATGTTTTCAAGTCATTGAATATATCTGGGATGGATTTGTAGGTTCCCATGATAACACTTAAACTTTTTGAGGAATTGCCAATGTTTTCCAAAACAGCCACACTCTTCATACTGCCAGTAGTGCTCCATTTTCTCCAAATCCCCACGCTTCAGGCCAAACTAGTGGTGTCAGGTCATATCTTGTTTGCATTTCCCTGTATTTTTTTTTTCATGGAAATTTTAGGGCAAGACCATGCAGGGCAGAGACCCGAGCAGCTTGTCTTTGAGGAGGAGGACTTGTGCCTTTGATAATAGTCACTGTAGGGTAGCTATGATCAGTCATGGAACTAGGTTTGACTTTGGGGATGTTCTGGGCTGGATGTGGTACATGGTGGTCTTTTCTCCAGGGGAAATTCCTGAATCCTTTGGACATCTAATAAGATTCAGAGCATCGTTTTCACTTGGTTTGAAATTTCATAGCTCATACAGTGGCTTACAAATAGAATCAAGGTCTACTTCTAAATCATTGTCTTTTGGTGCTAAATAGACCACTCACACTATTTCTAGGATGCACCGGCCCACATCCCACCTTCTCTTCTTGGCTTGCTGTCTTTCCTATTCTTAGAGCTGGCTGAGTTTTGCATTGCATTTTTCTCCTCAGTCATGAGCTTTAGCCAACCTCCATCTGATCTAAGTCATGAGTCTACTAAGACCTCGACCCCAGGAATGTTTCAAGTATTAAAATAGGGCTCCATTCCTGTGCTAGAGTTAGTACCTGTTGATACATAGCTGGAGAACAGGTAACAAGTCTGTACAGCCTTCCTCTGGAACCCAGCTTCCTCATGACTTCTCATCATTGATGACATTATGCCTTTGATTCATGATTGTCTTCACAAGAGGAAAACAACCCATTGGTCACTTCATATTCTCTTATTACCTGATCTTGTACCCTTGGTGGGACAGGTCCCACCACCAGTGACAGTCCCCAGCTTTATTCCCAGCTTTACGTGTCCATAATGCTTGTTTGCTTACTGACGACTGTTCATCTCTAGAACAGATGCTCACAGCAGGCATCCTAGCTGGTGGGCCTAGACATTGTTTGCCCTTGGGATGTTATACTGAATCACTCCACCTGGGTCTGACCCAGAATCTATCTGCTCCTGAGAACAGGTCAAAAGGCAGGCATGGGCAGGGAAGACCAGCAAGGCCCTTGTCACTGGACGGATCCTAGGATGAATCAGGAAGTCTGAGCACCTTACTAAGGCAGTGCTTGTGGAAGTGAAAGGCCCATCCCCTACTCACAATAAAGTGCTCTGGGTAACCACTAAACAGTGTCAGTGGTTATGAGCTACATAAAGCAAGTGCTGGGAAAGTCACAGTGTAATGGTTCAGAGGGACAACTGAATAGAAGGGGGCCAGTCTGGTAGTTCAGTGCAGTAAATGCTCATTTAACGTAGGGGCCAGTTCATCATGGGCTGAGAAAGTAGGAGCTGTAAGACAGCAGCTGCTCAGATCTGCATCAGAAAGAGAATGCCTTTCACTCTGTCAGCTTGTGCCCACACAGCTCAATTCCAAGTTCAAGGCTCAATGGACTGACTATATCTGGTTGTGAGAATCTGTAATCTCAGACTCTGAGAATCTCAGACTCTAGCAGCAAATGGTCTCAGAAATGCCCTACGCTCTTTACCCGTCTCTGCCATTGGGAAGGTGCATTGGAACAGGTCTGCTGAGCTTCTTGTGATTGTGTCATAGCCATGATGTAAATGAGTACCATACTCTTGCTTGCCATAGCCTACTAGCTCCTGAAATGCTTGTTGTAGTATACAGTACATCCTGGGCCCCAATTCACAGCTCTAAGGAAAGCCTTCAAGTCCCTTGTTGGCAAGGTCCAGTTGTAATTCACGGATCATGCAGGTTGGAGAACCGCAAAGGGAGATCTTTCTACACAGCATCACCAACAGCTGTATTGCCTGGAGTCTAGTTAGAAATGAATAATCTCTCTCAGGGCCCACCTCAGACTTACTACATGTGAATTTGAATTTTATTTTTATGTGTATGGGTGTTTTGCCTGCATATATGTATATACACTGGGTGCATGACAGATGCACACTTGATCCAAAAGGGTTATCAGAGCCCCTAGAATTGGAATTACTGATAGTTATGAGCTATCGTACCGGTGCTGGGAATTGAGCCCTGGTCCTCTGGAAAAATAGCCATTGCTCTTAACTAACCATTGAGCCATCTCTCTAGCCCCAGTGAAAGTTCCCCACATTCTATGTGCACACTGAATTTGATGTTCAAGACACTGAATTTGATGTTCAAGGCTACAGGTAGCCTGTTACCTTTACCTAGATATCAGGAACAAATAACAAAATCAGCCAGTCTTGGTGGCATATATGATTAATGCATCCATGTTTACATTTTCCCCAGTTGGACCTAATATCCACTCCATTCTCTTAACCATATGGCTCATTGAAGCACATTTCATAAATGACTTTAAATATATGGACACCCTTGTGAAATGACAATCCTCAGATCATTAGTCATTCAGCCTCATTTCTAAACCAGAGGGTTAGAAAGGTCTAGTAGTTTGACATAAACCAAGTGTGGAAATTACTTGAGTACAGTCTTCCTCATCTGCCTGCAAGAATGCTAGAGAGTACCATTACATGTGTCTTACTAAAGGTAGTGGGGGACCAGTGGGTGTCAGCCGCTATCGTTACCAAAGTCATATGGATAAGTGAGAATGGAGCTCAGACACAAAGCAGAGGAACTCTGGACCATTTAAACTAGTGCAGGAGATAAGTATTTATCTGGTACCCATAGTGTGCACAGCTTCTTATCCCAGACTGGTACAACCTAAGGTGAAGATTGGGGGCATTAGTCAAGGTACCGGACACACCCCTGTACTTCACATGACCCTGATCCACAGGCAAACCCCATCCCAGAATCTGGAAAAGAGAAACTGCGAGAAAGGAGAAATTCTGCATAATCCCAGGGATGGGCATAGTCTCTGAAACTGAGCTACTGCACTAAGGTTAGAAGGGACATCTGATACCATGTGTCACAACCTCCACTCTGCAGAAGACAGGCCCAGTAAGCCCCTCTGAGGGTGAGCTAAGGGAATCTTCTGGCCCCCCAGGGCTGGGCTTGGGCTCTATGTTGGGTCTTGCTACATGACCCCAGCTGCTGCTCACCTTGGCCCTCTAGGGTTGGTAGGATGGAAGCCACTCTGCACTAAACAAATAAAAAAGCAAGTCCATGGCAGATGCATAAGAAAGATTTCCACAGGGCCACACAGACCACAGAAATCCTGTCTTCATATCCCAAGCTTTCCTGCTCAGTGTGGTTCAAAAGTTACAGGGGTCCTTAAGTAACAAGAACACTCCTCACTCAGCTAGTTGGGACGTGCCCCATCGATTCAGCACCCTGGTCAGCACCCAGCCTCCATGGTGCTGAGAAGACCTAGCTACATTAAGCTTGACTGCTTTCCAAGCCAGGACAGCTCATTTCTGGAGGTAGGACAGCTCTGAGAAGCAAGTACCTGCCCTTCCTGATCTGTGACACCACCATCCCTTCCAGCCAGCACAGGCGCCTCTGTCAGTACTCCTTAGGTTTTCATCTCTTCTATGCTAAAACTAAAACTGGACATAGCAGCTACTCAAACCTCTGTTGAAAGGATGAATAAGGATGCTTGGGTGGCACCATCAAATGGTCTCTGACCTATAGTTCAGCAGTGCCCACTGTTAATGTCCCCGAGAAAGGAGTTGTGCATTCCTGGCCCCAGAAGACGTCATCTTATTGACAGTCCCTTGACTTCAACCACAGTTTTCACATTGCCACATCCTCATACCCAAGTCCAACTGTCCAGCTGCAATTGAAAAATTTGGGATTCTGGTGACCACAGATCCACAACTGACCAGAGCCAGGACAGACAGTGTCTTTAATCTTGCCACCACTGCCATGGCCAACTACTGTTGTTCATTGATATTACCTGCAAAACTGAGCAGACACATTTGGGCTATTGCTTCTCCTGCTTTAATCTGAAGGAAAGAATAGGGACTACTATGAGGGGTCAGCAATAGTGGCACAGATCACCCATGAGTAACTTTGATGAAAGAAGATGTGGATACGCAAAGGAATCAAGTGAGAGAGGCTGGAAGAAGGAAAAGAAGAGGAGATAGGTTTTGCTGAATGCCAGTGGCCCTGGAGTCAGTCCTGACCCAGATGGCACAGCTCCCAAGAAGAGGTTGGCATGGCAGCTGCCTTCTTTCCCTGTCTTCCTTGTTCCCCTGGGCCAGAACTGATTAGTGAGTCTCTTTTCACTTGCTACTTTTCCTTAAGCCTGGGAGACCAGCAGCCGCCACCCTGACCTTGGAGACTCAGAAGTTAAATAGGAAAAGGCTGCCAAGTTGAGGCATGGAGCCAGGGCCATATCCCCTGGCTGTAGTAAAAACCCTAAAGGAGGGTCAGGGAGATAGCATTGCCCCACAGTGCATCTAACAGTCTTTCTTCCAGACAAACCTGCAAATATAGGGAGAACAGGGCCTGTCACCACATTGCCACAATCATGCCTTACAGCCTTCTTTCAGTAGCCTAAGTGTCCCCCTTCCCCAGATGATGAAGCCCAAGTACACACCAGGAGTCCCATTGCACACTCCTCAGTCACCTGCCTGTGTACCGCCTATCCCTCATCTCATCAGCTGCTGAGGCCTCTGAGCCTCTCAGCATGTGTCTCTCTGGCCAGAGCCCTTCCACCAATTCACATCTTCCTGGTTGTTTAAGGTTCTCCTTAAGCACCCCCTTTCCAAAAGAATCTTCCTGACCCCAAACTCACACATGTCCTCCTCTGTATATCTCCCCCATACCAGTGCGCTCATACAGCACTGCATAGCCACACCATCCTGCACAAGACAGGCTGGGTGCAGCCCAGCCAGGACTGTGTTTATCTGCTGAACCATGGAAGGATACCATGGATGAACATGAGTAGCTGTTTACTGAACAATTAGGAAATGCAGGGCACTGTGCTAAGTGCTTTAAAGACATAATTAACCCCTCACAGGGAAGGCATTGAGACTAGCACAGCTGCTTAGCATTAGAAGAAATGGGCCAGGAGGCACTGAGCCATTGCCAAGCACCTGAGCAGCCATTCCTTACACTGTCTGATGAATCAGCCTCCATGGACCCTGGGGTTCTGCCTCTTGTCCCTCTGAGATTTGTGTACAGGCAATGCTCCAACATCGTGTGCCACCCTCTGCAACATGCAGGTGTCCTATGTTGCCCATCTGCTCAGAACAAAGCAGTTCTGGAAGGGGGATGATGTAGGTAAGAGAATGCACGGGGGCTTAAGAACAAGAAGCTAAAGCACAACAAAAAGCCAGGCTCTGGCCCTAAAGGCTTTGGTTCTCCTCAAATTAACAATTTGGAAGCTTGGGGGAGCCTCGGCTAAATCCAACTAACTCCTCTATGCCCCATGTCTCCTAACTCCTGACAAGTAAATGTTAACATACCTCCACTGATGGGCAAGTTTCTCTCCCAGATAAATCTAACCCTGGGGAATTGAGGGAGGAAACCAACAAACTGAATGGGAGACATCTCCCCACAGATGCCCATATCATTGACATCCGCCGCCTCCCCCCCCCCCCAGCAGAACCTCACCTCTGGCTTCTTGAAGCCCCCACCTTCTTGTCCCGCCCTCTGCTTGCTTTCACACACAGGGAAGTGGTAACCAACAATGACCTGGCTCCTCCAGTTCCAAGCTCAGTCCCCTCCCCAAGTGCCAGGGTTCTGGAATCCCCCAGGACGCTCCTCCTTCCTCAAGAAAGGAGACAGGAAGGGTACTATAGAGGGGACACTGGGATGTTGCTGGGAGGGTGACAAACTTAAAACCACAGGGTCTGTGGCCGACAGAGAAAGAAACCATGGTCAGCTTCCGGAGGATGCCTGGCTTAGCACTCTGCAGCCAGAGGCCTAGTCCTTGGCTCCTGAGCAAGGTCAAATGAGGAAGCTGCAGAGATGTAGACAGGGTGCACGGTGTGTGTGTGTGTGTGTGTGTGTGTGTGTGTGTGTGTGTGTGTGTGTGTGTGTAGGGAGGAGACTTGAGAGAAAATCCCTAGGAAGGTGATGCTATTTCCAAGAAAAAGCACCATGGTGGTGGAGACACCCAGCAACCCCTGTCGCCTAGGAGACCCAGAGGTTACCTGTGAGGAGGTGGAGGTGATGACAGGCATGGGCCCAGACACCCAGGCCTAGACACCTGAGGGCCTCAGACGAGCAAGAGGAGTCAGGTCACAGATTGCTCTCCCCCAGCAAGTGTGACGCCAGGGCTGGGAGGAGAACCTTTTTCCACTGGGGAAACCCCTAAAACAAAGCTAAACCAAGGCCCAGAGAGGATGCTGCAGCTGCAGAGCCCACTGATAATCCACACCCACACTTCTAGTCATGGGATCTTCTGCATCACTACTCTGACCCCAAGACAGTACTCTAGCAAGAGCTCTGGGGAGCTGGGCAAGGACTGTAAGGCTCCAGGACTTTGCAGAGGGCACCACTTGCCCTGGAAGGAATAGAAAAATTTTGTTTCATCCCTTCATTCAAACATGAACACCTACTATGTATGCAACCATGTTTCCCACCCTAAGAATGTAGTATGACCCAGTTAACCCACTTAAACAGAGAGGTGGAGTAACTTGCCCAAGGTCACACAGCCAGTAAGTGGCAGAACTCATATTCAAACACAGATCTTACCAGATACAATGAAGAAAGCAAGATTTGGGGCCCTAGTGGTCTGTGGGATGGCAGAGGCAGTTCTTAGAAGTGAGGCAGGCATGTTCCAGCAACAACAGGGACAACTCTACATCTAATCCCAAAGAAACCCACAGGAAGTCCTAAGCACTCCTCATTCTCTCCCAACTCCTTCCTAAACCTCGGTCCACCTGCTGGGAGATCTCAGCTGCATCTTGGAAAAATGCTTTTGGCATCTCTCAAATCTTCTTAGTTCACTGACAAGGTAATGACTGCCTTGATCCATTCACATGTGGTTTCTAAAGGAGTTTCCCCATCGGAATGCAAAGCAGGTTCCTCTGGCTTGGGAAAAAAAGAAAAAGAAAAAGAAAACTGCCATTCCTTTATTTTCTAGCAGATTTAGCCCTTAAGTACATTTCATTGTGTTTAAGCTGATCTGAATGGACAATTCCAGGCATATACTCACAGTAGGTACTGTAGCCTAACATGTATCCCTCTACTGCTATAGGAATCCAAATTTCTTGGATTGATACATTTTTTTTTTATCATCATCATGGATTTGGGAAGTTGAGGCCCATCATTGGCAATGCTCCATCTTGCTGTAATTCACATAGCATAGTTCCTGCCACTTTGTCTAGCATTTCCCTGCTCCAGCAGGGGAAAAAAACTGATTATTTATATATATCCTGGACTTGGGACCTTTTGCTCTCTTAAGCTTTGTCCTTTTTAAGTTGTACCCTCAGTACCACAGCAGAACCTCCAAAACCAAGCTGCACAATTTTGTCCCCCATCAGCCCTCCCCAGCCCTCTGCTCCAAACAAAAATTGCCAGCATGAGCAGACATTTGATACTGCCCAGATGTTCAAGCTGCATGTGCTGAAGGTTCATGTTCCACATAGTCAGAGCTTCTCCAGCCTACACACCCTGTGCCACCCCATGTTCTGACCCCCACCAACAGCTAGGATCTCAGCTCATACAAGCAGCTAAAATGGAGGATAAGGAACCTGCCTGGAGCAAGGGCTCATGGAACTGATCCTTTTAGAGTCATCCTATAGCCTATACAGTATGTGCTCCAGAAATCCTCCAGGACCTTTAGGACTGGACAGTGCTCCCCAAATGCCTGCCACTATCATCTTCCCCCCACCCCATGCCTATTTCCATAGAGTTTGAGGGGCTCTGGAATATTTCACCAAAGAAAGAATGCAAACAGCAATTCATGTGGCTGGAGTATCCAGGCCACTTAAGTGTACCTTATTTCTCCCCAGATGATGGGCAACTGAACTTCACTAAGAAGGAAAGGTAGACATTACAAATTCAGCATCAAAGAAAATTGTTTTCTGCTACCAGGATGAGATCAGGCTCAAAAAACAGCCCACTGGGGGGGGGGGGGTGGAGGTGATAAGCTCCCAACATGCCCACAGAAATACAACCAAATCCTCACACCTAGGCGCCCAGGGGAAACTGCTTTGTAAATATGCCACTGCAAACAATTCAACACCCCAGGAAGTCAGGTCCCAAGACCAGTTCACACCGTGTCAAATTTTGGATTGAACCAAACCTAGTCACCAGAGCTCTGTAGCAGGGCCACAAGAACCACTGGTTCCTGGCAGTGGTCGTCGTCAATACTAGGCCAGAAGGTGGCATTGGTAATGGTCAGTCCTTGTCAAACACCCTCATCCCTCCTTGAAGGTTAGCCAGAGGCAGACTGGCTTCCTGTTCCCAGGGCAGATGTGGCCCGTGTCAGGGCACCCAGTCCTACTCTTCACTTTAGGGACTGGGCAGCTAGGGTCTGGAGAGGGGAGGATTATGGTTCAGTCAGTAGGGTGCTGCAGGGGGCTCACCTCAGAACTGACTTCTCCCATCGTCATGAAGCCACACTCTACCCTAGATGGCCACCCAATACTCTTACTTGGCTAATGAAAATAGTGGAGGTCTCAGAATCCCCCAAGGCATGAAGAATGGAGGCAATCTTTCACATGACTCCCAACCCTGAGAAATGCCAAGCAGCCTCATCTTCTAAAAGCAGTGGTTTCCACAATGTATTTTTTAGCAGCAGAAGCCATCCTCCAAACAAAACCTTATGCAAAAACTTCAAGCTGCAAAACACATCAGCAGTGCTTGCCTGGGTAGGGCCTAAGCCAGACCCCATGCTTCCCCACCCCAGCACCAAAACTCCCTCCATAGGACCCTCTGTGGATCTCACTTTGAAGCCCCAGGCTTCAGGGTACCTCCAAGCTCTGCAGCTAAAACAGCAAGATAGGGAAGACTCTTACTTAAGAGCCCTGGGTGGTATAGCTGGTCTCTGAGACTTGGACAACCTCGTTCTCCACTAGGACCTGGCCCCCATCCCCAGCAAGCTGCCTCATACGCAGGTTGATGGAGCCGTAGGTCTTCCTGGATCCCCTGCCAGGGACAAAGGTCTGCCTTCGGTACAGCTCACCCTTGCACAGAGAGACCATCAGCAGCACAGACAGGAGCATGCCACCCACTGTGAGCAGCCCCAGGCCTGCGATGATGCACTTGTCCAGATGCGAGCCCAGTCGGGCATAGTACATCTCTAGGCGCTCCATCTCCCTTGCTGTCACCGTGTCAGGGTTAACCCGGGCCTCTCGAGGGATGGCATACGCTGTTACCACCAGGAGGATTCCGCTCACCAAGAAAACCAGAGCAAAAACAAAGCCATAGTCCACTGGGCGGCTCACAGGTTCCAGGCCCGGCCCCTCCTCTGAATGCAGAGAAAGATCATCCCTCTGGGACCGGGGCAGTGAGGGGACACCTCCAGGAGGGCTGGGGGAGCTACCCAGTCTGGCATCCCCAGGGTTCTGGAAATGAGTCTCATGCTCCTCGGAGAAGCAGGCATTCTCCACACCCATCCTGGGTGGCGCCACTGGGCCCAGTGGGGCTGGTCTCCTTGGAACCTGGGGACCATTGCCCAGTGTCTTCAGTTCCAGACCAGGGGGAGATGCCATTGGGAAGAATGACCCCAGCTCATCCCTCGGCCCTTTGGCAGCTAGAAGAGAAAACAGAATGTCAGTTGAAGTTCAACGTCACACTTGTCTCTCGCACAGTTGTAGGGAACTATGGACAGTAGAGCAATGTGGCCTGTGCTAGGGCACTACTCCACAGTGGCTGGTGCAATTATCCTCTCTGAGCCTCAGTTTCCCCATTGAAAAAAAATTCCCCAGTGATAATACTATTACTACTTCCTACTGCACAGTGCTAATGGAAAGGCTGAGGTAACCCATGTGTAGATGCACAGTACAGTACCCAGGAAGTATCAATGATGGGAGAATTTAGAGTAAACATGAGGTCCATATCCCAGCCTCCTTGCATGTGCTTAAGCTTGTGATCGAGCTCCTCAGCAGAAACAGTGTTCTCATCTGTAGAATGGGAAGCCTCCCTCCTGGATATGGTAAATAACGCTCATCAGGCTGTGGCCAGTTCAGCTAATAGGCAATATTGTGTGAGCATGTGTGAGGTGACATGATGGTGAGGTGTGGCAGACACAGTCAAAGTGGTATAGGAACTAGTGGATGAAAGCTTATGGAATCTTGGGGTGGGGTGATGGCATCTAAAACTGCCAAAAACAAAGAGTGGGAAAATTTGTTAGCAGGTAGAGGATGGGGTTCTAGAGAAGGAAGGGTACCCCAGAGATCATCTGGGCCAGTTCACAGAGGACTGTGAAAGCCTGGTCAAGAAGCAATAGGCAGTCAAGTTGTTAGAGCAGGAAAGGCTGGGATTTGTGTGGATTTTAGAAGGCAGAAGATCAAATGCATGGAGCACAGGGTCCAGGGAGGAAGCCCAGGGCATGTGGCCTGGCAGAATGGAAGGTGAAGAATGGGAAGCCTGAGCTGAGCTCAAAGCCAGACGCCTTTGTGTGATCAGGCAGGGATTGAGAGTGGGGACAAAAGAGATACTACCAGATCTCTGGACACATACCACACAGACTCACGTGTCCTTATGCCAAAAGGCCACCAACCTGTAGCCATGGGCCAGACTGAGTTCACTGGAGTTCTGCTTATTTCATTTCCAATTCTATTCATTGAGTTTTGGCCCTTTAGTTACTGTGTGTGTGTGTGTGTGTGTGTGTGTGTGTGTGTGTGTGTGTGTATTATGTATGTATGTATCAAAGATTTCATCTTTTAAGCTTTGCGTTCCTGTAGAGAGCTAGTGAAATCCTCAGTGAATGTGTATTGTTGGCATGGTCATGGCCATCTCAAGGACTGGTCCCACAGGAGTGGTGAAGCCTTCCCCACATGAGGCTCAGAGGGGTTGCAAAGTCTTCCTCGGGTCCGAATGCAAATGTAGACAGTGTGCAGAAAAATGTCCACTTTAGCTTTTCCTCTCTCCCACATGTTTATGGCCTGATACTTCCCCTACAGAAACTTCCTACCAAGTTAGCTACACCTGCTGCCTTGTTCATCTATACTATCCCTGTCTCTTTATTTAGCCTTATACAATAATCCTGCCTTCCTGTTCAACTGCACATATTAAACGTGCTGACCTAGGATTTCTGTGACTTCTCTATTGAATAGCCCAGACCACCTGATCCCAGCTTTTCTGCACATCTATGGATCTGTCTTTTCCTCATTCCCTTTCTTCCCCAATCGGGCCAATACCTAAAGCCCTATAGATGCAGCAGGTTCCCTTTCCAGCTTCTCTTGCAAATCTGTCTGCCATGTGCCACCATCTACTCACAACATACACCTGGCATTGGTAACTGGGCCTTTCCCTTATGTGGGTCTGAACTCTTTTCAACAGGCACACCTCCCCGGTGTGTCATTTCTGATCCCACAGCAGGTGCACAATGTTCCATACATACTCAGATGTCCTTCAGGTACAGCACTGATACACAAATCCCCAGGTAGCAGAGACCCTAGGCATGGAGTTGCTCTCATGCTCCGATGTGTTTACACACCTGAAAGCTGATTCTCTGTATTCTCAGGTCATTCTCCAAAATTCTGTGGGTGCCCGTGTTTCTGTGCAAATGTGAGCAAATAAGTGAAGCAATGGTAAATGAGATGAATAAATGAATGAAACTCCCAGGGGTTGAATGTGAGGAGTCTTTCTGACCTTCCCATGTGGACTTGCTCTCTTAGCAAGCATATGGCCTTTCATCTCAGTTCAAAGGCTATTGCTGCTTACAACTCCTTTCTATCTCTGTGTCCCTCCTCTACCGTGTCCATTTAACACATGCTTGCTGAGCATCGACTGTCTGATAGACTCTCAGCACTAACTCGGGAATAGCTCAGCTCTATCACTATCTTAGAAAACACAACCAAGATCCCATGGTATGTACTGGGACGGAGGACTAATAGTTGAATATGGGTACTCCAAGAATCTCTATTCCCTACACACTTGCAAACCCACACACTCCAACTTCCTTCGCTGGTTCCTTGAGCCCTCACTAAAGACATCAAGCGTGGGCATCCTGAGGGCAGAGCATCCCTCTGATTCTCCCTGGGTTCCCTGTCTCCTGCTCAGTCTCCTCTCAGTTTCCAGAGAATAGATAGGAAGGAGGACAGTGCTAGTTGGCTTTTTGCTCTTGACATTAAAAGCTACTTACCCAGAGCAGAAAGTAGGTGCCACTTGTGGCCCCCACCCATCAAGCCCTCAGCAGACCTGCAGAACTCGGGATTGGCCCATAACCTCTTTTCTAGACTGGTACATTAGTGCCTCCATATCCCAGAACATATCTGGGGCTCCCAAATTCCTAGAGAAGGACTCTTTTACCCAAAACTTTTTCCTTAGGATGCCTGGGTGAAAGACAAGACACGAGAAGGTCCTCTCTCTAATAGCTTTAGAATGTTTGTTTCTCTCATAAGACAGTTAGCAAGTTACTCAAGGGCATACCCATCAATTACCCAGACATAAGCAGAGCCACACAGATGTTGGTGCCCACGGATCACACCTCAAACCCGAAACGGCACCAGCTATTGTTATCTGCAGTCCTATATTTCCTGAAAGGCAAGCCCCCACCCCCACCCCGGTTCCACACTCATTGCCCCTGGGACTGTTCTCACAGCAATATCCACAGACCCGGGAAATACGTGTTACTCACAGATCCACGGGTCACTCTGGTGGTACCCATAAGAGGGTAAAATTGGGGAAGATAGGGTGGGACAAGAGAGGGAGGGACACAGGAAGAAAGGAGATAAGAGACTACTGCTGAGATCTAAGCCGGATCCACCCAGACCTGCCCGAGTCCAGCACCCCCATCCATGGCGCACGCTGACACCCACCCGGGAGCACGACACACTGCGAGGCTGGGGTGAAGCTTCGCAAACCCAATCGATAGACACACGCACTCGTAGTACACAAAGCCTCGGGCGCGCAGATACACACACGCAGGTCCACGCTGTGATACCCAAAGTTCCGCGCGGAAAGCCCCAGAGCCCCGGCCTCCCGCCTCCCCCGAGCCCGCTGGCCCGCAGTTCACACCCCCTGCTCCTGCCCTTGACCGCCAACGCCACGGGCCAGAGCAGGCCGGACCCGGCTGGTCAGCGATCGCAGCAGGGCAGACCAGGAAGGCTGGGCTCGGCTGGGCCGGCGTGCTCCAGGGTGCCCGGGTCGCTTGTCCTTCGGCCGGCCGCGAGGTCAAGAGAGCTGTCCTTCGCCGCCACTCCCCGCCTCGGGCCCTGTGCCGGTGGCTCGCGGTTGGTGTGCCGGGCCTCCCCCGTCTCCGCACGCGGGAGCATAGGGCTCTCGGCGGCCGAGGGTGTGCGCGGATCCTGGCCCGGCCACCGCCTCGCCCTCCCCGGCTCCCGCCCCCTTCCCGGTCGGTCCGCAGCGGCTGCCCGGGAGCACGTACCTGCACACGCCGGGCCGGGCTGCACCGCGTCGGCCGCTGGGGGGCTCCGAGGAGGAAGGGACAGGGCAGGGCGGGAGCGGGGATCCTGGAGCGCCGCCGATCGAGCTCCGCCCGCGGCGGGCGAGGGCGCCCGGAGAGTTAGCGTGGGGAGGGAGAGGGAGGCGGCTGCGGGTGCCCGGCCCCCGCCATCCCTAGGGCCACCTCTGTCTCGCCCGCGCGCGCTGGCCAGGGAAACCTGAGGCTAGGAGCCCTCGGCGCTGGGCTCAGGGGCGGGGCGAGGCGATGGAGGGGCGGGGGGAGAAGACCCCTCCCCTGCCTCTCAGGAGACCTCGATGTACCCAGGGATGCCTTTCCCACCTCAGGTGGGACCCAGCATCCTCTTCAAGGTCTGTAGGTCCAGAGTCTCATCACTCAGTGAGACTAGATAGCTCACGGGCGCCACGTGAAGGCTGAAATGAAGCCTCTGCCCACCTCTGTCTCTGATGGATAGTCTCCAGGGGTATTGCCCATAGCCATGCACACCCTTAACCTCCAAGGCCACCTGCAAGGCCCCTTCTGCGGACAGCCTGTCTGGGTTTCCTCACACACAGACCCTCACTCGAGGGGTTCTTCCAACTAGCACTCCCTTGGCCTGCAGCTCAGTGCACAGGTTTTTGTTGTAAAGGGAACTTCCTCTTCTTCTTGGGAGCCCAGGCCAACCCCAGAGAGAGGACTGGTAAGGAAGGTAAGGCTATGGTTTCTGGGAAGACTTGATGGATAGCTTACATAGGTCTTATATCCCTGGACATCAGTGTCTACTTTCATCCAGGGAAATCATGGCTGTAGAGTAAGGACTCCACCAATGTGATAGGAGGTCATCCAGAAGATAGAGGCCAGAAAGTATTGTCCTGGCTCCATAGCTCTCTCACTGGCAAAGGCTCATGGGTCCTCCTCCAAAGGCATTTATTCCTCACCTACCAGGAACACAAAGGTTGTCTTGGAAGTCGTGTGGGCCAACATAGCCAGGCCCTGTGCTGAGCCACCGGAGCTGAACAGGCTTGGCCTGTTAGGATCTCCACGGGGAAGCTGTGGGGAAGCAGCAGGTCCTATGTAGTCCCATCTCTGGCCCTCACAGGTATGTGACATTGTGCAAAGTTCCCTCTTGAAGCTCAAATTTCCCCTCCAGTAAAGGAACTCAGGACTTACGGGAATTCTATGAGACCCCCAACCATTAGGAGTGGCCATAGTT